TGTAACCTGATAAACTGCCGTCGTTAGTGTCTCGCTAAAGCAACAGCCTTCAAGATGCACAGTAGCAACAAACTGACCAAAACAAAATACAGACTAATGCATATTGAAAAGAACTGCTTTCGCAGCCATCTATTGGATTAATTACCGAAAGCGCAAAACGGAAGAGCGATACTCCTATTTAAATGTACTTTGGCGAAGCCATCCGGAAGATGACGGAATCGAGAAACTTAAACTGGCCGACTCCTCTACTGTTTAATGTCCGACTCATGCTTGCTGACGTGTTGCTCAAAATTTATAACACAACTGAAATAAAAAATGAGGGGGCACTAAATGCGATCCTCGATCATCAGCTGAGCAGAATATTTAATTCAACTTTAACTTTAAAACTTCTTACAAAATATCTCATGAATCTAGCCAAGTCCAATGGCATAGAAGGTGCAGCAGCTGAAATTCGGTCTTAGACCTCCGCGGGACAAAGTGGTTTCCATCGGTATGATAATCACGATATGCGATGTCAGCTACTAATTTTCGCTAAGACTTTACGCTTATTCCAAGGCATCGAAACGTCCACCAGAAATTCGAATGCTTTTTTATACATCAGCCTCGGAGGTCGAACAGCAATTGAGCACGCAATCTCGTTCATCTACGACTATCCACAATAAATCTACAGTTAAATGAGCGAAGTGCCGCATCGCGCCGCGGCCGCCGGCCGGTTCGACAACGGTGCTTTAAGCGTTTGGGTGAAAAACGATTATCTTAAATCCTGATACGCCGTAGAAAAAGGATTCTTCTTGACTGACTAACGGAGTCACCAGCTATTTTACAAGGAACATTTAGCTTGAGAAACCAGCTAGAGAAATCAGCTTTTGCAATGTGCTTGTTCCGGACAGATGATTCGACGATAAAAAACGACGCGACATCTCAGACGTCGTTGATGGGCATCAGTGTTTGATTTTTTCCACAGATTCAGAGAAACAACAACCGTTTGGGAAGGGAAAGAAATGTCATCGATGCCGGAAGTTACGCATCAACAAATGTTTTTTAATCATTTTACAGTGGAAGGAGAAACGCATTATGTTCTATAATGAATTCCTTCATGCCTTTCAATTTATACCGGCTCTTTCCTCGATATCGGCATACAATGACAGCAAGCTAACAAAAAACACTGAGATCAGTGCTTGAGCAATGAACTCCCTTCTGCTAATCAAAAATAATAGCACTGAAAACGTTTCAGCTGTGCACTCGACAGTAACCGCAATCAAGATCCATCTATGTTACCTTGAAGAAAGTCCGCGAAATACGAATGGAAAATTCGAAGTGGCTTGTCGTCTATCAGACTTTCTATATGCGTTGCGTGTAATAAAATCATGTTTATGCTGTTTTGTAATACGGAAAAGAACAAAAATTTCCATCTTTATTATGACAATGTTGTAGATGGAGAAGATTATGCTTGTACGAATCCCAATGACAATAAACACTGTTGTAACGAAGAAAAGACGGCTACGACAGTAAGCATGAAAACTATGACGATGCAAATAAACATATGTGACTGGGATACAACTCAGTGATTGCGACATATTGCATGTAATGATGACGACAGCGAAGACGAAAATGTTAATATTAGTATTGATGAAAGCGACGGCTATCATGAAGATCACTGTGACTGTCTATGCCATCCGGCCTTACCGATAAACCTGCCGCGAAAAATTATGTTGACCACACTTAGTATCTTCCTACACTGAAATTTTGTGAAAAGAACTGAACAAGATCTGAGTAAAAGAGATGTAAACTGAAGGCCGTCATTTCTGTTATGCGACTGCACGGTTCGAACAAAAGACTGACTAATGAAATATCAGAGGGACTCGGAAGGTAATCTAAAGCCAGGCATTAGATCCGTCGCAACTATCAGACGCCTGAACAGTGGACCACCAATCCCAAAGCAAGAAATTCAGCATTTGACCAAAGAAATCTCTTCAGCAACTTAATCAGCTCGATCATCATTCTAGCATCCAATTTCGCAATGCCATGCAGACTGATACGCTGTCCTGGAATGAACACTGACCAGCACAAAGTTGGGGGAGTCAGATAATATTTATGGTATTATGACTGCAGTGATAACGCGCGCTGATGGCGGTAATGACGACGATTATTAAGCGGACAAGGTCATCGTATCGATGACGATACTGGAGAGACTTTCGGTGACAGAGGTGATCACGGAATTCGTATTGCCGCTCGTGACGGTTAACACCGTAGCAATTGGGATGATAATGATATGGCGATGGTGATGGTAATTACGGTAACGATTATGGCAAGGGCGGCGAAAATGACGGTAACGATCATGACGAAGGCAAATCGATGGCGGTGGTGTCCTCCCTGTCTGCACGCATTCACGTTGATGACGTTTTAAATACAAATGGATTCTGCGCAGTCGACCAACCACAGACGACCACATGAGGGTTGTACCGTTTCTTAAAGCAGGCAAGATGCGAGTCATTTATTATTTCGATCACACGTCGTGAATATCACATTAGCCTGAACCCTCTACAAAGAGTTTGGGAGTTGCAGCACTCTTCTGAAAATCCTGCTGCTCTAGCAGGCTCGCTTTATGCGGTTCATCTACCTTGATCCCTTCGTCAGTTGATTTTAGTCAGCGCTGATGGTCTCTTTTATCTGCTCATAGAACAATGATCGCCATAAGAATGACTTGCAACTTTACTGCCCAGATCTTCTGTATGTGCATCCTGAATTCTTGACATTTCTCTCCTGTTAACAGAAACGTTGTCGTCAGCCAGGTATGCTATAACAATGATCTGTGCTCACACTTTTGCATTGTCTACAAACACGGCATTCGGACGATAAGCCGTTGTTTCTTTCTTGGATGCGTATTGAGATGTCTCAGAATATTTTCATATCATTAATCTCTTCCACCGCTTTCGGTCAACTTTTCTAACACTGATTTTCTACCGGTAAAGTTTCGGTTCTATTGCACAAATGCCAGTTGATTATCACTGCAACGCTGTTGTGCGTTTCATTTTAATCTCGATTCATAAGCGTTTCGCCACCGAAAATTATATGGGTCACGGTCATACCCTTTACAACGGTTCGTGTTCTGCGCTTGGTTCTTGGGTGGCTATTAGAAGGGCTTCCGTTTCGCCAAGTAATCCACTCCAGATAGCCAGTTCAAAGTCGGGTGGATGCCTATGTTTTCACGGAGTTTGCGAAGATACTGTTCATGAAGCTTTTTGGTCTTCCAACCAGTTTATCGGACGTTCTCTACATTTTTTTCTGACAATTTTTTGCATTTCCAGCTGTTTGTTGTTCTACTTTGCACAGGTCGTTAACTTTTACAACCTTATCACTCATTGTCGTTGCAATATCTGCATAAGAAATTACGTCTCTAATTCTAGCATATGGTGGATGCCTATGCCTGATACCATGAAGCACTCTTCCTCCTTTTTTGAAAGGGACAATCTGTCCGCATCTGCTTTTGAATATACCATCCAGCACATGTTCAAGATCTTTCGCGTCTTTCTATTCAGTTCTAACACTTCTGTCTGCGTCCATTCATGATGTCACCTGTATAAGGAAGCATTATTACCGTATACTGGTTAATAATCACAATTTTGTTTCCCCCACAACGTGCTGTTCAGAATTCGGCGGGATTTTGGCTCGCATTTCGACGATTCATTGATTCTTTAATTTTTTTCGTTATTCATGTAAGATATTGTCAAGTTTCAACATGCCAGCATAAATGTGTTGTTGCTTGTTAATTCTGATTATTATTACTGCTTTCTAAAATTCGTACCCCGAGCTCGACTTCGATCGTCGATCCATCGAGAATGGTGACACGACACACATGACGAGCTTTCTTAGATCGTGTTTTAGCCCTGTCGTCGCCACCGGCACCACAGTGTCCTTCATCGTCGCGCTTGTGCTGGTCGACGCCGCGCCCGCTGACGCGCACCTTGTCTTCGGAAGAATTCAACGTAGGTCCGGTAGCTGTCACCATCGATTAACTGAAAGGCAAAAGCCGTCGGATCACGAAGCGTCAAGTTATTGCATGACGCGCTAGAAAACAACAACAACGCGGCGCGAAGTAGCAAAAAATGATTCGATCTGAAGACCTTTCGCCAGATTTATAGTACAGACAACCGCCCGGACAGCAGCTACACAACATCGCAAAGCGAACATCTAATCGAAGCGTATCGAACGGTCACAAACGAACCAGTGATTCGAG